TTTTTGAATAGTGATATGATGGGAAATGTGTGGTTGAAAAAGAAGAAAAAAGTATTGATGTGATGGAAAATATTATTTTATTGAAGAATGTGTGGTTGAAAATGAGAATTGATTTGAGAATCAGAAACAAACAGGGCCTTAATGTAGGAATTCACGTCAATATGTGTGCTAGGAAAAAATTTATCTAGAGTTTAGATAATCATTGGATTATGTGTTAAGGAGAGTCTCTCTCATGTCGTTTAATGAATTTAAAGCTCCCGTGTGACATTCATTTTTTTCTCATTCTCATTATTTTTCTCCTTCTTCATTTCAACCACACATTTTATCAATAAAATAATATTACACATAAACCTAAAAATTCTCCTTACTTTTTAACCACACATTATTTTATTAATCACTATTCAAAAACACATTTTTCTACTAAAATGGGTGTCAAACACCCCCTAAATGCATTTTTAGATATTTGACAATGTTAATTCAGATTGATGATCATTTAGATTATGCCCATATTTGAGCTACATTAAAATTTTCATTTTATTCTTCTATTCATTTTTAACAGCACATTTTTCAATAAAATAATATTTTTCATCACATCAATAATTTTTTCTTCTTTTTCAACCACACATTCTCCATCAATTTACTATTCCAAAATAATGTGGCTCAAATAGACCCTATAATTGAATGAGTTCAAGCCCCTTGATCGAATGTCAGGTGGCCTAACATTATTGAATGTTGGACAAAACCATATTTAACAAATCAATCCAGTGCTGCCTGCCTGCCACCTGGCATTCCGTCAAACTACCGACAAACTTCTGGCATCCCTTGAAACTACCTGACAAACTTCTATGTACATGTAACATGATTCTAAATAAATAGCATTATTCGGATAAAAGTTCAATAACTAGCATGATTATTACGTAGAATTGGACAATGTAACTTGCAACCTTTTAGTCATAAGAATATTGGTTTTAAAAATCAAATCTAAGAACAGGTAGTTTTAATACGTTCCACTTATTGAATATAGTGAACTCCTTAGCCTTGAAAATGCTAATTTTAAAGAATGATAACAATGTCATTGGTTTATCATTAATTAATGCATGCCACTTTTTGAACAAATTTATATGGTTTATTTGTGATCTCGAGACGCAAAAGATGTCATCGCTGTTAACTCTTAAATGGGTGGGGATGACGTTCGGTCCATAGGTTTTCCTTCATTTTCTTTTACCGCATTTTGCTTAAATAATTAAAAGGAGATTATGCATTAAGCTATTCGCAAGGTAGTTAAGTATAGAGATTCATGATTGTACTTGTACATAGAAAAATTTTAATTTACAAATATACACATTTTGTACACCATATTGAGAATGATGTCTCGAACAATACGGTCGGACATATGTAAGTATATACGTGTGTGTACGGTGTATAGGCCTTCATTATTCTTACCAACAAAAACAACCAACTTGGTACGCAATCTTTCTCGAATCTAGCTGTTAATGTTTGAGAATTAATATTTAAACTTTTTAATTAGCATTAAATTGGGCTCCGAATTATCTATTTTAAGTATTGCTTTACCGGTCAAGAATAATATTATTTGTATATCAGTAGTTATATAATGATTTATATACAGATGAAATTTTAAATCATCGTGTAAATCTAACAATCTGTTGGTTAATACCATGACTCGGACAAAACTGTGGGTACCACTACTCACATTGTTGGTAGGAATAGGATGAGGTATCTATTGAGGTTTAGGGTGATATTACATAACTAACCTTGGTGGTTGGGTACAATGACGGATATGGGATGCTTGTCCTTGCTTAGTTGTTTTTGATTGGTGGAGGCCGAGGAAGTCAAAGATTATTTATCTAAAATAAAGGGCAAAAAAAGAAAGATGAGCAAGAAATTGAGTTTGGTGCATATTAAAATAAGATAATGCATTTTTTTTAATTTTTTTTTTTGAATAATGCTCATTGTATAATGTTGGGTTACAACATTGGATTACAACACCTCACAAGGGAGGTGGGGCCCACTATTATTTTAATCGCGGGGCCCACCTCCCTTGTGAGATATTATAACTCAATGTTGTAATCTATGTGTAGTACATGTAGTATTGTTTTTTTTTTAAAGTGATGTAATAGGGAATATGTGGTTGAAAAAGAAAGAAAAATTATTGATATGATGGAAAATATTATTTTATTGAAAAATGTGTAGTTGAAAATAAGTAGAAGAACGAGAATGGAAAAAAAATAATGTGGCTCAAACAGGGGCTGAACATATATTTTTTATGCTACTACAGAGTTTTTATTTAATGACAAAAATTTTAAAGCTATATTTAAGATCATTTTTTACCGCGTAATGCTATTTATCATTATAATGATGAAATATCGGTAACATGACAATTTAGGTGGAATAATGGGATATGACAATTCAATTTTAATGAGAGAGTGAGAGATTAAACTATCATATCTCATTATTTCACTTAAATTATCACATCATCGATACTTCATCATTATAATGATAAATGATATTTTTGTTTTTTACCCCGTTTGAAGTATAAGGATCATGCAATTCTCTCAATATATCTGTTCTAGTATTTTCTATCTAAAAATTATTTTGTGAATCCCATCCGACCTCAACCAGCCACAATTGCATTAGGCATTCTCGCGTGAAATCAAACTAAACCAAGATAGAAGAGGCCTTAGGTAGTAGTTGATGCCTTCAATTCAAAAGCTCTTCAGACTATTTGCTTACAATAAAGAAAAAGCGAATTGACCTGAACAAGTACTTTGGCTAAGGCAGAAGGAAAAATTTAAATAAAAATAAATAATTATTATTGATAGATGTTAGAAGTTAATAAATTAATTAAAAATAGTAATTTAACATTACCAATTAAGTTTTTCATCATTGATAAATGTTGACCCCAAAAAATGGTCCGACGACGTGGCCAACAGATAAGTAGAAACATATATCCACATAAGCTTAGATCTCAATACGTTTATGACTCAGATCACCCGTTTCCCAGATAAATCAATGAAGGGAATGATCTAAAACACTTAATAAGTTGCTGTTTTT